GTTGTGGCTGCAATATAATCTGCTAGGCCTCAGAGGTCGCTAGGCCACACTATGTTTGACAGGAATGATTGTTAGAAGCGTTTCTTTATTAAATGAATATGTACAAATCCTGTTGTGTTGTTTTTAATCTTATGGGGCAAGTTGACAAGTTTAATGTACTCAAAACCCCCCTCAACCTCACTGCCATCCAGTCAATTCTAGCTCCTAGCGATCCTATAACAAACCTATAGGACAGAGTGGACCTGCCCCTGTGGGTTTCCAGCACTGTCACTTTCGCCTGCTGGCCGCCCGACTTGTAACCACCTCGCTACCAGGGCTCCAAGTACGGTGGAAACCCGAGGGTCATCAAGATTCTTCCTCCGATACTCCTCAAGGCTCTATCATTGTCAAGTCCTCTTGATTCCGCTTTTGTTAAGTCTGACTCCAAAGCTCTCATCTGGGTAGTTTTAATAATGCTTTTTTCTGGATTATGGTAAGCTTATTAATTGATTGCCCTGCCTTTTCTTTGCTCTCTCTTACCAATCCTCCACGGGGCTTCTAAAAAGTTCTTCCTGAAATGCAGGCCCAATCGGCATTATCTTCCAATAGCTCCCTGTTACCTGGGGGTTAAAGTCTAGGCAACTACAGAGCTGAACCAAGCTGTCCTGTCTTAGCGCTGCCACTCCCTCTTCCTCACCCTGTGCCCTGTCCTTCCCTGTCCTGATCAGCTCGGAGCTCCTCTAGACTCCTGTCCCCTGTCCTTGTTGGAATGCCCTCTTCCCCAGTCTACTGAGTGAACCCCTCTCGGGAGGCCCACACAAAATGTCTTCTCCTCGGTCAAGGCTCCTCAGAAGCCCTTCCCTTCTTGGCCAGGCCCAAATTTTGTGTCCCCTTGACCAGTGGACCTTGATTTCCTGTCTCTAACGTATCACCATCCACCCTCTAGAACATGGGGGTCATGTTTTTTTTTATCTCTGTAGCACCTGGGATGGTGCTAGGCACACCATAGCCATGAAACAGGTGTCTGGTCCTGGGAGACAAATGGGATATTGAAGACTTAGTTTCCCTGAAAGTGCTCTAAGAGAAGGCATCCCTGATTCTAGTCTAACTGTAAGCTCCCAGCATGTACTGGCTGCTGTCTTATCTTAGGACAGCTGGCCATGCATGGAAATGCTCTCATTATCCCCTCTCTACACTGGTCTTACCCATCTGAGAAACATGACTGACCTGGTTGTGAACAGAGCACCGGTTTTAATTTGCAGTGGTCCCCTACCCCCTACTCCCCAGTTAACCAATGAGTAGGTGGCCTATGTAACTTGATACTGACCCATAGCCAATCCATATAGGGTTTCTGAAATGAAAGTCTTTAAATGGAGCAGACAGAGACATTGTTCTCCCAAGGAAGTGCTGGTGGCTTTGAACTACCAACCTTGCACTATCTAAGCCAGTGTCACCTCCCTCAAATGCAAACTCACTGTCATCACGGCAGTTCCTGTGGGACAGCGTAGAACTGCCTCTGCACATTTTCCCAGGTGTAAGCCATGATGCCACCAAGGCTCCCTCACAGCTGCCACGGAGACCTTAAAAAGCTACTGTCCGGCTATCAGGCCTGCCTTGTGTAGTCTCCAGCATGGTGCATCCTCGGTGGTACCATCACATTAACAAGTAATCGGTTACTTCCCTGAAGTCAGATTCAAGTTTTCTGAAGTCTAATGCCATGCTCTTCTGTGTTTTTGTTTTGTTTTCTCCCCCCAAAAGAAGGCACAGGATTTGTCTCTGATGCTGTGTCTCCCCGTTTGGCCAGCAAGCGGTGTAACACAGAATGTCCGAGAGCACACCGCTCCTTTTCTAGGCTGGTGCATCTCTTGTTACCTTACACTGCTCTCACTTACCCTAAGGACCCGGCACCTTCCACTCACTACCACCTTCTATCAAACTGCTAGATGAGGGGATACACATTTGTTTGTTTTGAACCCCAACGGTCTTTAACGTAGTGGCACAAAGCACAGTTGTAACAGAGTAGTCATAAGACAGGCCCAGTTGATGTAGAAGCCTTCCAGGAGAAGGTGACAGCTGAATCTTGAAAAGGACATGGATATTCTCACGAAAGATGAGCTTTTCTAGGCAGAGGAAACAGTAGAGGTAAAGGGTTGGGGATGTAAAAAGGCATGACAGATGTGAGCCTTGAGGATTGACATGACTCAAGTTATTGGCTGATTAAACTTCGGGTTGGGGGGTGGGGTGGGGCGGGGGTAGGGACCCCTCTAAGGAGTTTTCTTCTGAGCTCAGCTTGGTGGGAGCCAAATTTGCTCCCTACAACTGCTCCCATGATCCCCCTCTACCCTACCAGTTCATCCATGGCTAAGTGAGGTTCCCAGGGTCGTCGGCACTCCCACCCACTCCCACCCGCTCTGGCGGGTGGCATCCCAGAAGGAAAGAGGCAGGGGAGGAAGCAGATAAGAAAGACAGCTTCTGTTTAGACACAAATATCTTAGTAATCAGCACAGATGGGATGAGAAATACCAAAAAAAGTACATGACAGTTTAAAGAGGATTTGGCTAAATGTTACATATTTTTAACCTACCTGTATAGAGTTTTGGGACCGGAGTCCCCAGCGTGTGAGTGGAGATGGGGGCTATCCCTTCACCAATTGGCGTTTTTTGATTCCTGGATGTCCCTCACCCCCTGCCCGAAAGTAGCCTGCAAAACAAATTGTTTTCTCCCACCAAAAGAAGGCGCAGGATTTGTCTCTGACGCTGTGTCTCCCTATTTGGACGGCAAGCTGTGTAACATATTTCTACCCAGCGTGAAGCTTCTTGGCAGACTCTTGAGGCCACGCTTTGGTGGCTTCAAAGTTATCTTTGGATCTGTCAAAAGTGCTAATGGGCTTTCTGTCCTTCTTTAAGCTCCTCATTTCTATTTTCTTTTTACTTCCATCCTCTCCTAAAAGAAAAATTCATATAATTCATCAGCAGTTAAGCTTCCACTGAAATGCCTCCTATTTTTGTTTGCAAGAAGAGCTCTGCCATGTCACTGTCTCTGGAGCAAACCCCACCCGACATCATTAGCTCAGCACTCCTCGGCCCACCCAGCAAGAGATGTGTCTGTGGCCTCATGCAGGCTGCCTTTGCTTTGTTTTCCACCAGGCTTGTTCAGAGGCCGGTTGGGGGGGTGGTCACGGGAGTTTTAGATTCAGAAGACCTGGTTTTGAAACGGACTCTGCCTTGTACGCTAGGTGACATTGGGATGCAACCTTCCTGAGCCTCAGCATCTTCAGGCTCTAAAGTGGTGATGTTAATGCTTATCTCACAAAGTGGTCAAGAAGGTTAGAGATAGCACAGCTACAGTACTGAGCAGCACATAAATATTACTCAATAATTATGGGATAATCATCATTTTCACCAGATTCTATTTTTTCTCTTGGCGTATTTTGATCCTGCTCTGCTCCTATGCTGTGACTTTTTAAATCCCGCCCCCCCCCAGCCCCCTTCAAATGGTATAGGAGATTAAAGGCAGACCCTTACCCAAGTCATGCCTTAACCACTTACCCTGTGACCTTGAATTCATGACTGTACTTCTTGGTGCTTCTCTTTTCTCATCTGCAGGTAAAGCGTGGTTTCAAGATTAAATGAAATAGTATCTGTGAGCCTGTGTACACTATAGATGTTTCCAAATAGGCGATAGGGACAGTGGAGTCGGGAGGAGGGGCTTGCATTGGCTCTGGGGTTGGTGGTGAGTCCAGATTTTGATCTCAGCAGTTACCGAACTTGCCAAGACTTTGGCTTTTTTAAAAAGATTGCCTAAAAGCACACTTAAAATGACTGCCACTTGTTCGGCAGTCGTATATGGAACGGTTCCTTCACTAATTCACTACGTGTGAAGCTCAGTGGCTAACCTGGCACTGCAACCAGATAAGCATGAATCTTAAGATCAACACCCCTTCTTATTCCCAACCCATAATATCGTTGAGAAGCCCTTTGTGCTTTTTGCATATAAAATCCACCAGGTTTACATGGATTTTGTGGGTTATGGATCCTTAATCATTCTAAACTGCAACCCCTGGCAACAGCACTCGTTCCCACCCTGGCCTCCTCCATGTTCAGAGGATTGTATTGTGTGTGACATTGAAAACCTGTTCCATTGAAGCGATTAGCATATTCATGGGCGTGATTCAAATCAGGTGGACATAGAAAGGGGTGCCGAAATGAAACACATTACATTATTCTGAATTCTGAAGAGCACCAACCTGTATTACCAACTGAAAGACTGACGCAGGCTCCGGCTATGGAAAGAGCTTGTTAACCTCGTGCTGTGTCACAACTTGCTGCTGCTTGTCGTCGTGGTTTTTTGTGTCTCTTTCGCCTTTTGAATGAAGTACCTGGGAATTGTAAATCTGTTGACCTCGAAGTTGCTTTAATTCTGACTGAGCTGTTTTGGAGCAGGTAAACTCGAGGTCAAGACGGGAGTGAGCTCACTTGGTTTTTCCCCATGGGATCCATTGGATAGAACTAGACTCTGGGCCAGAAGCCTTTGGGCGCTTGGGCCTTGCCTTTTGATTGGATGCATAGCATGGTGCATTGGGATGGTTCTGGGGCCAGGGGCCAGAGGTCCGAGCTACAGTCCTGTCTTCATCATTTCATCGGAGGGTTTGATCTGGACAGAAATCTCTCCGCCTTGGTTTCTTTGTTTGCCAGATTGCAGACTCCTTGTCCTGCTTCACCCGCAGAGTTGATAAAATCGAGGTGCAAATGCAGTGTACTAGGTGACCTCATGTTGTAAGCTGTAGTCAGCACCCAACGATGTTATTTGCCCAGCCGGCTTCTTCTCAGAGAGCTCTTCCAACCTTCCATTCCATGATCATCTACACAAGCGACACTTGGTCTCTCGTGTAGAAAGAACAGGACAGGCATGATGAAAGTATTCCTTCTGATTCGTTTTCTTTCTCATGCTTGTCTTAGATACTCATTTGCAATCAGAACAGACTTAATAAGCCACAAACCTTCCCTTCTTTTTCCTCCTAGAGAAATCTGACAGAATATTTTGTGGCTGTGGATGTAAACAACATGCTGCATCTGTACGCCAGCATGCTCTGTGAACGCCGGATCCTCATCATTTGCAGCAAGCTCAGCACTGTGAGTAGACAGTCTGTGAGTCGGGCTTTTTAATGAATTGATTTTAATTGAAAGATGGATCGGCAAATTGGAGACAATTTTAGAAAAAAAATTGGCCACTGTTCCCTCTTAAGTATTGAATCTCAACCCAGTGTTCCAGAGTGCCAAGCGAGAGAACAAATAGACCGGGATGGTCGGTGGAAAGGACTTCACCTAGCAACACGGTTGAGTCTTTCAGGTAAAACGCTGGATGACACAAGGAAGTTACAGAAGAAGATACAGTGTGAGTTTGTTATATAAAGTTCAGGTTAGACAATCTACGTGCAACATCAAAGGAGAAAGAGACATGCTTAATTCAAAAGTTAGGTACTGGTTTCCTCAGAGAGAGGGGGAGTGTGATCGGGAAGAGGCGCACAGCAGACTTGAAGAGAGTTAGATGTGCACTGCTGTCTGTCTAAGACTGGGTCAGCGGCCAGCCTTTGTTGAAGAAAAGGTAGGACTTTGCAGGCTCTATTATCTTTGATGCAAATCAATACTCAACTCTGACCTTTTAGTTTGCAACAGGTAAACTAGTGGGTGTGCCTGTGTTCCAAGAATAGTCTAGTTTGTCAACGCATGAGCTAGGTGATGGGTTTTGAAAGCTTAAATTTTTTTCCCTTAAAATATTGCTTATCTGAGGTACATACTTTTATGTGTGTATATGTCACAGAGAGTTTTTGTTTTTATTTTCTTGGGGTTTTTTGTTTTAGAAAGTTAAAGAAGATACCAAGCACTTTTATCATATTTTGGAATATCAGGGATGGAGATATAATAGTTGTTAAACGAAGGCTAGGAATCAATAATGTATCAGACTTTGCAACAGTAATTCTAACTATCAAAAGGAAATGAGGCACCATCCTAAACATCTAAGGGGAATTGATTTCTAACCTAGAATTCTGTATTCCTCCTATGGAGGCTATCTGAAGAGAAAATTACAATGTCGGAGCAGGTCCCACAATCTTCTGTACTCTCATCCTATCCTGGGGATGAACGATTTATGCTATTTAGAGCCAAGTAAGTATTTGCTGTGCCCATGTTGTAGGCACTAAGGACACTAAGAACAAGGTAGACATGAATACCTGGCCTCATGGAGCTTGCACTCTAGCAAGAGACAGATTGCAGAAACAGCTTCACTGGGTAGTGTGGTAGCTAATGATAGGTTCTAAGGAATAATACAAAGCCGAGAAGGAGGCTAGACGGGATGGCGAGACATCCGGGATTGCAATTCTAGATAGCATAGTCAAGCAAGGCCTCCTTAAGAAGGGGACACTCTAGTGGCACTTCTTTCAGCAACAACCTCTTCTCTCTTACATTGTTAACTCTTCTTCCCTAGAGCACACTGTTAAAAGCATTACCAATATGGTAGTGTGTGCTCCAAATTTTGAAAAGAAAGAAAATTTCTCTAACCCACATAGCTGTCTTCTCATTTTTTTCTTCTCCCCTTTACAGCAAACTTGTGCAAGCTGGTTATCTCGATTTACAGCCTAATTTATCTCTCCTCATGCCCTTCTCAGTCTTCTCGTGTTGGGATGTGGCCCCCCACCGATCCCCCGGACAGCCTCTGTGTGATTCACCAGGGACCTCTGTGTCAAGCCAAGTTACACTGAGTTAGTGCCCTCCTGGAGAAGATCCTGGCAACTAGCCAGCACTGATCATGGACATGTGTCTGGATTGTGTATGCCAACAATAAATTAATAGCTTTTGCAAACTGAAGCTCAAATTTTAGTATTTAAAATATGATCAAGAAGTTGTCAGTTAAAAATTAAGGAAATTCTGTGTCTCTTGAATCAAGGGAGAGGAGACTCCCACTGTTTTAAGCTGTCAACGATGTATCACTTGGACTTTTAAAAACAAAACAAAACACCTTGTTGTTTTTAAAAAAGGCAAATAGTTGAATGTTATCTGAGTCCTGCATTTTACCATGTTTGTGGAAATCATTTTTGTTTTATTGAGGGTGGAGTGGGTGGTGGTGCTGTATTTATACCTCACATGTAACCAATAGTACTCATGTGCAACTTCTCTAATGAAAATCTAAGCGAACAGACATCAGTTGTATTCTAGCTTTAGGATTTCTCCAACTTCAGAGTTTAAAAGTTTTCCAATTATTTCCTCGTCATTTCTCAGTAGTCTTTTCATTATTATCTTTGGGGTGGGAGGGTAATGAAAGAGGAGTACAAAGTCCCTTTTGAGCCCGAGTTTCTTTGGTGACCCTCCCTGGACAAATCCAGCTGTGACCTGTAACGCCTTGGGAAACCACATTCTTCTCAATTTTGTGTGATAAGATGTAGGCTTAATGCCCCTCACAGCCATCAAGCACCTGAAAGATAAAAGCTGTCGAACCTTCCAGAGTGCTGTCTTCTAGAGAGATAACTGTGCATCAGCAGACACAAGCACAGCAATACTCAATTCAGAGTTAGGTAGCACATGTTTCAGGGGTTTTCGGTCAATAGCATTGTGAGATTCTGTATGGGAGAAAATGTAACTTTTTGTTCTCTTTGCTCAGTTAATGTATATTGATTGTTTTTCTTTATAAATGATAAATAGGGAAGGCTTAACTAAATCTTGTTCTCTAATGTAAAAGCTTCACTGTGATTTCTGTAGCACACAGGTCCCATTTTTCTTCTATATGTTCATATCTGAGCTGAATTTGATACAGTAACTCCCATGAACAACAAGTAAGACCTGTGTAGGGATCATATGTAATCCATAGTATTTCCAGGAAATTGGCATTCACCCCATTTAACAGAAGAGCTCCTTCTCAAGGAGAGATGGAGTAATGTATCCAAGGTCCCATCCTAGGCAATGAGAGAGATGGCCATGTAAACAGGTCAGTGGAAGGGAAGTCTTTGGATTAGAATGGGAGAAAGACCCAGGAATTACATGCTAAGCCATGATCCTTAACCCAGGTAAGGTGCTCAGGCAGTGCACTGGGTTAAAGGGCTGCTAACCTGAAAGGCAGTGGTTTGAACCTACCAGCCAGTTCATGGGAGAAAGATCAGGCATCTTTTCCTCTAAAAATTCTGTTCCAGAGTAGTTCTGTCCCACCGTGTAGGACCACCAGGAGTTGGACTCGACTAGGCCGCTGTATGCAGCAGTATGTTAATCCATTCAATGTTATTGTCTTTGGGGCCAGGATATGTTGGGTGGTACTGCTCAAACTGTCAGGAGAGCCAGAGTCACACTGTAAGGAATATACATCCTTCTAGGGGGATTTAAGAATTATTATACAGACCCCAAAGGATACACTGAACCCAATTGGGAAAAGTTTCTCAAGTAGCTTGTAAGCATCTTCAAGGTGACCAAAGAGGAGCTTTGAGAGCAGCCAAGGCATGTGTGTAGAACATCCTTATTTTGATTTAGAATTAGTACCTTGTAGGGGAGTTTCCTCTCCAGTACTCCTCAAGGGAGTCATTTTAGGTCACCCACTCTATGTGTCAGGCATATCTAGGTTTGAATTATCTAATTAATTGAGGCTCCATGTGTAATGACTTACGCTACCTATAACTATAACAATGATTACTTTTTGTTGGTATTTCAGCTTGGGGAAGAAGGGTAGAAAACCTAGTATTTCCCCTTGTTAGTCTTTCTTACTAAGTAGACAGAAGTTGTCCTGGAGAATGTGGGACTTGACTTCTGTCCTCCCATCAGGTCTGGCCAACAGTGGCTGCCCGGTATCTATTAAGGGATGAACACCTTCTCAACATTGTCCCCACGCTAGACCACTTTCCCCCATGAACTGCATCCAATGTATCTGCTCCAGTAACTTAAGAAGGGTCAGTTTATGAACTAGAGGATATTCAGATTTGACTTCATTTTTACTTCTCTCCTGGTGAATTTGACCTGGGCATGGTGTGAAATAGGTTGGACATTTGAACGAGACATGAGATGTTTTTCTAGCTCTTCTAAACTAGAAATAGTGAATCCTGTTTGCTCTCCCAAAGCCCTTGAAGCCGAGAAGAGAGTGGCAGTATAAGATGGGTTTGAAATACTGGACCAGAGCCAGGGCCTCTTTGCCTGCACACTCCGCTCTGCGTGTTCCAGCTGCAGGAACAAACTGCCTTATTTTGTTTCAAACTGTGCTGGGGGAAGCCAAGACCTTGTACCTGGAAACTTACCAAACAGAGGATTCTAACACTAAATTTAGTGTTCTATTTAAAAAAAAAAAATAAATGATCTGTTTGTTCATCATTTATATGTTAAAAAAGAGAGAGAATAACCTAGTTCACGTTTAACAACCTGAGAAGAGTATTCAAACAAGAGAGAAGAAAGCTAATCCTTTTGGTGAAGAGGGAAATCCTTAACAAAATGCAGTCAGGTGATAGCCATTAGAGAGATGCAAATCAAACCCCAGTCAGGTACGATTTCACTCCCACTAGGATGGCTAAGGTTTAAAAGAGCAAAACGAAAAACTAGAAAATAACAAATGTTGGTGAGGATGTGGGGTAAGCAGGACCCTAATCCATTGCTGCTGGGAATGCAAAGTGCTACTGCCGTGTAGTGCTTCCTTAGAAAATAAAACTACTGAATGGCCTAGCAACTCCATTCCTGGCTATATGCTCAAAAGATGAAAAATCCAAGACTCAGATGGACACTCGTCCACCAGTGTTTATCAAAGCACTGTTCATTCACAATAGCCCAAAGGTAGAAAAGCCCTAAATGCCCATCAGTAGCTGAATGGATACACAAATGTGGTGTCAGTTGTTGTTAGATGTCGTCAAGTTGGTTCCAACTCAAAGCCATCTGTGAGCCGTGCGCCACAAAGTGCGGTGCAGACAGTATCTACTACTGAGCCAGTGGGAGGAGTGAAACCTCGATACAGGCTGCAGTCTAAATAGCGTTTGAAAAGAGTACGCTGAGTGAATTAGACCATCACACAAACACGAATTTTGTAAAAAAGCAAGAAAATGCAAACACATAGAGACCAACATTTATAACAGTGACCATTTCATGGGAAGAAGCCCTGGTTGATGGTACTGTGGGTT